GACATGTCCTGCTCTCCCCCGCCTTCATAGGACCCCTCCGCAGCAGCGCGTTACCTGCTGGGTCCCTCCTCTCGGCCTCGCCTGCTTACCTCCCACTCTGCCTCTTGATGGGTCCTTCAAGCCCTTCCGGTCTGGCCCTCGGTAACCTAACTGCCTCCTTCTGCACTGGCTCAGAGACCGGCCTGACCATTGGGAGCAGGCATTTGCCCTGGGTACGAGGCTCGGTCGCCGAGGCTGGGAGGGGCTGGTCCCTGCACCCTGTCCAGCCTGCGCTTTGTGACATCTGTCTGTCTACGCAGAGACTTGTTTCTGCTGAAGGTCTGCTGCCTGTGACACCAAGGGTCTGGGTTGCTAAGACTGGACGCAAAGCCGCCCGAGTGACAGAGGACTGCTCTGACTGGCTTTGACTTCCCTGGTATTGCAGACACAGTATTTCTTCAGATATTGTCCTCTTCCCTGCCCCTCGCTGCTAATAATGTTTCATGGCTTGGTATTCCAGGTGCTGAATTTCCCTCTCAAAATACTTTAGCTTGCTTCCCCCGATGCCCAGCCGACGTCCCCAGGGGCATCATAAATCTCCAGTCCGGGTCTCCCGCTCTTGTGGATCGTCCCGGTGCGCTGAGCGCAGCAGGCGGCGTGAACTCCCCGCTGATTAATGCCGCTCGCGTGTCTGTGACACAGCCTTCACCTGTGGTGATGTCCACATAAATCACGGTTTAGAACCCGTGAGCTGGCAAGAGCCACGGCCCTGAGTGTGACCCTTTTATTTTATGGGTGAGTACAACCAGGTCCGGGGGTTAGGTGACTTTCTCCAGGCCACGCGGTCGGAAATTACCTGACTCAATTGGTTCTAGAATCCAGATTTTTTGTTTTCCACTTCACTCCTCTTTCTAACTCACCAAAAGCTATTTCTTTTTTTTTTAATTAAAAATATTTTTTTTAGCTTAAAAATAATTGTGGTAAAATACGCATAACAAAATTTACCATCTTAACCATTTTTGTGTCCAATTCAGTAGCGTTAAGTGCCTTCACGCTGTTGTGCAACCGCCACCACCATCCATCTCTAGAACCTTTTCACCTTCCCCAACTCCAACTGTCCCCATCAGACACTGACTCCCCGTTTCTCCCTCCCCCAGACTCTGGTAACCACCATTCTATTTTCTGTCTTTGGGAATTTGACTACTCCAGGTACCTCGTATAAGTGGAACCATACAGTATTTGTCCTTTTCTGTGATGGCTTATTTCACTTAGCATAAGGTCCTCAAGGTTCATCCATGTTGTAGCATGAGTAGAATCTCCTTCCTTTTTACGGCTGAATAATATTCCATTGTGTGGCTATACCACATTTAGTTTATCCACTCATCTATCAGTGGACACTTGGCCGCTCCCATCTTTTTGCTATTGTGTGCAATGCTGCTGTGAACATGTGTGTACAACTGTCTGTTCACCAAAAGCTGTGCCTTATGAAAATCTTTATATTTAGAGGCACTTGCTGCTGCCTACTGTTACTACTTATATATTTTTTTCTATTGTAAAGTTTGGAAAATACAAAAAATACAATGGAGAATATATAAAGTCGCTGACTTTTTTGTGGTATATATTTCCAGGATTTCATATTCATGTTGCCCATAATTTTAAAAGTTTTTTACAGACTGAGAATTTTGACAGGTAGGCCAATCTGTGTAATAGGGAGGACACTTGAAATATACTTAAGTTAAAAAATATTTAAGACAAGGGTCGGCCTGGTGGCACAGCAGTTAAGTGTACACGTTCCGCTTCGGTGGCCTGGGGTTTGCCGGATTGGATCCTGGGTGCGGACATGGCACTGCTTGGCACACCATGCTGTGGTAGGTGTCCCACATAGAAAGTAGAGGAAGATGGGCACGGATGTTAGCTCAGGGCCAGTCTTCCTCAGCAAAAAGAGGAGGATTGGCAGCAGTTAGCTCAGGGCTAATCTTCCTCAAAAAAAAAAAAATTTAAGACAGAGAGTGTGAAAACTGAGTGTGAGCTTGGCCAACCCTGGCATTTTAGAGATGAGTTCGTTCGAAGTATGAGCTTACCTTAACAGTGCTACCAAGGGAACTCTTTGTACTGGTGCCTCTCTAAGACCGTGGTAACATCTTAATAGAGTGTCTAACTGCTAAGAAGAGTTGGAATTTTGAACGGGGGTCTTTTCCAGTCACACTTCTCAAATATCCACTAGGGGGCAGTAAAAGACACATAAATTTTTCAATGGGGCTCTGAGTGCTGAGCAATCAGGCCAGCATATCCTCGCTGTCTGTCTTCAGCCATCCGTGCTTACCGTCACACAATAATGGATTTCACGGCCAACAGCGGGTTTGGGGAAGACTGGAGCTACCGTCCTCTGTAGCCTAAGTGCTGGTCTTCCTCATGTTCACGTTAACATCAACGCATGAAACGTCATTCAACATGTTGGTCCCAGATTGTGTTTTTATTTAATTCTCACTAGTTCAGTGATTCTCGAAGAGTGAACATCAGAATCACCCATGGTGCCTTTTCCAAAATGCACAGGCCCAGGTCTCGTCCCAGATCTATTAAGTCAGAATTTCTGGGGCTGGGGCCTAGATATATAGACTCTATTTAGATTCTGGTCCGTGACTTCTTGCTGAGAATCAATGCATTGGTTCTTAACTTTAATAACTTTAACAACTCGGGGGAAAGGGTCACCCTCGAGTAAAACCTCAGAGGAGAGAGAATATGAATTCCAGGAAATCTTTTTCTGTTTGAGAAATGAAAGTCGCTGCTGAGTCTGCCGGCTTTGGGAAGCACATTCGGCACAGCCATGAGGCTTTCCCGCAGATTGTGCCTGTATCGTAACAAGCCAGGAACCCGGACAGGAAATCTAGACCTGGGGGCCATCCTGGCAAACTCCGGACCCGCAGTTAGGGATCCACGAAGGCCATGCTCAGGGGCCAGGCTCTTCAGGGTGAGGCCAGAGCTCAGATACCAATACTGTCTGCTATATTGAGAGAATCTTTCCTGCAGTATTCAGGGAAAAGAGACCTTTCATTTTATCTTATCAGAGGTAAAAATGACACAGAGAACCTGAGATCAAAAGACCTCTGTTCTCATCCTAACCATACCTCTAGCCAGTTATGAGACGCGAGGCAAGTAATGTCACCTTTCTGAGTCTCAGCTTCCCCCTTTGACTTACGAGAGGATTGGATGACGTTGATCTCCAAAAATCCTTCCCGTTGTAAAAACGCAATGATTCTATTGGTATTAATAATCTTGATTTGTATGGTACTACTCTGGCAAAGAGCAGAAGAAATATTCAGTAATGCAATGAATGACAGAGACTATTGACCATGTAGTTTAATTTATTTAAGACATATACACTGAATTCAAAGGAGAAAATATTGCTCCAGATAATGTATTGGACTGTTAGTATCTTTAGCATAGCAAAAGCTTTCCAGAGGGAAAAATTACCTATCAGTGCAAACCTGACATTTTTCACTTCCTGATCCGTAACTGCCATTTCTCCAGCTCGCTTCTATTTACTGTAAAGGGCCAAATGTATGAATGCCGTGGGTGAATATTAAATAGCTACATAAACATCAAGGTCACAGTTGCAAGCAAGGCTCTGTGGAGGTCCCTGGGAGGCTTGCATTGATCTCTTGTGAAGTTCCATTCTCGAATCCTGCTGACAAGGGGAAACAATTGATGTGGACCATTATTAAGGCTTTAAGTGTTTCTCCATCGTTAAAGATCTTTTACAAGCCCGGAGTAACTGATAGTGCCCAGGGAATTGGCAAAAGCTTCACTTAGAAATATAGGCTGGTCAGAGAGATCAGTAAAACCCAGAGTGTGGATGTTCTGGGTTGGGCACTGCTCTGAGTTACAGAGTTCAGAATGGAAGGAAGGAAGGCCTGTCCTCCTGCTCTTTCACACCAGAAGCTGCAGAGAGAGTGGTTGCCTCTTTCAAATCCACCTTTAAATTTCCTCGAGCTCCCCTCCCCCTGTGGAAACCTCCTCTCCTGCCATTCAATCCATCTGTTCTCCATAGCTGCATGAAGGATCTGACAAGTGTCTGGGGGGATTGGGCACGTATGAATTATGCAGACCCAGAGACCCAGACTGACTGTCTGGACTGGGCAAGTGCCCCGGATAATTGTGTGAGTGTCCTGCTGACCTGGAGCTGGGAGGAGAGCAAATATTATGGATGACAGAATCTAGTCTCAAAAAAGTCTCAACAGACAGAAGGACTGGCCAAGTCTGCTAGATGAATCTCATGAGAGATATTAAGATAAAACCAACATTTCCTGTGTCCTAGCTCTGTGTTAGGTACCGTGCTTGGCTTTCTGCACATTTCGGTTTATTTCTTCTTTACGATGACTCAGTGAGGGTGGGTTTTTATATCTCCACTTTTAAGATGAGGAAACTGCCACGTGCTAGTCCAGAGGAAGACACAGGCCCTATAGAGCCCTTATCTAGATTCTAATCCAAATTCTGGCCTCAGTGAGCCAACAGGTTACTTCACGTAAAAAATAGCACTAAGCCAGGCTTGATGGCTGCCTTTTATGAGACAGCTTCTGTGTGCTTAGCCCTGTGCATTTGTTATCTCATTTGGCCCTCAGAACCATCTCACTCCTATTTTACAGATAAGGAAGGCACAGATAACCTAAGTAACTTGCCCAAGGTCACACAGTAAGTAGCAGGGCCAGGATTTGAGCCGAGGCAGTCTGACTCCAATACCCACACACTTATCAACAGCTGCACCCTCTCTGATTCCTAGATTATAAAAAGAGAACCACCTCATAGAAGAGGTAACTTGTAAAGTGCCCAGGCTAGTCCCTGGGGCATAGTAGGCACTGAGCACTACTACTAGATCACCATCATCATCATCATCAAATGACTTGCTCCTAGAGGCAGGGCTCATTTTGTCACTCATTCACCAAATGTTTACCAAGATCCTGCTCTGTCTTGAGGGTCCAGAGAGGAAAAAAATCATAGTGCTAACCATTCTTTTCCCCCCCCAGGTTCAAATGGTAAAAGACGGTGACCCCTCCTGGAAGCCCACTTTCATTGTGAAACCTGATGGTGGTTGTCAGGGTGATGGAATCTACCTCATTAAAGACCCCAACGACATCCGCCTGGCAGGAACCCTCCAGAGCAGGCCGGCGGTGGTCCAGGAATACATCTGCAAACCTCTTCTTATCGACAAGCTCAAGTTCGATATTCGTCTGTATGTCTTACTAAAGTCCTTAGACCCCTTAGAGATTTATATAGCCAAAGATGGACTCTCTAGATTTTGTACTGAGCCATATCAGGAGCCCAGCCCCAAAAATCTACACCACATCTTTATGCACTTAACCAACTACTCACTGAACATCCATAGTGGTAACTTTGTCCATTCGGACAGTACTAGCACAGGCAGCAAAAGGACTTTCTCGAGCATTCTTTGTAGGTTGTCTTCCAAAGGTGTTGACATCAAGAAGGTCTGGTCTGATATCATCTCCTTGGTGATTAAGACTGTCATTGCCCTGACTCCAGAGCTCAAAGTTTTCTACCAGTCGGACATCCCCGCAGGGAGGCCGGGGCCCACGTGCTTCCAGGTAACCACTGCCAGTTCCCAGCCTGAGTTCTCAACCTTGACGGGGCCTACAGAGGGCTCCCTGGCCTCGTGTGGGATGAGGGATGGGGTGGGATGGCCAGAACGGGGAGGGCTGCTTGTTGGGGTTAAACCAGGGTCCAACTTCCAGTTTTTTCATTTACTAGCTGTGTGGTTTGGGGCAAGTTACTTCCCTTTTCTCACCTGTAAAATGAGACTAATAGTACCTTTCTTAAAGGATTCTTGTAAGAATTAAATGAGATGACATATATAAAGCCCAGTGCCTGCCATTCATTTATTCATTCTTTCTTCCAGTAATTTTTACCACCTGCTTAGTAGGGGCCAGGCACTGTCCGAGGTCCTAGTGAGACAGTAAGTCAGGTCCCCACTGGCTCATGCATAGAGTCTACTATTGTGGGAGACAAATAGTTTTAACAAGCAGTTTGTATACAGTACCATAAGCACTAGACTGGAGCAGGAAATGTACTGGGCTCTGTGAGATTGTGGGATCATCTAGCATCTTCTGAGTGGGAGTGACAGTGGTCTGGGAAGGCTTCCCAGAAGAAGTGGCAGTTAAACTGGAACATGAGTTAAGAATTAGATGAAGCAGGTGGGACTGGATAGGGCTGGGGGAGACAAAGTGTTCTAGGCAGAGACACGTTTGCAGCCCTAGGGGCAAGAGTGAAGAAGGAAGTGTTCAAGGAACGGAAAGAGGTTCCGTATGGTTGGAGGGTGGGGTTTGAGGAAGGTGAGGGAAGATAGGTTGGGAGAGGTAGGTAGGGGTGAAGTCATGGAGAGCTGAGGGCAGTGGGGGCCACTGGAGGATGTTAGCAGGGGACTGAGGCACTCAGAATTGCATTTACAAAGAACAGAAAAACAAACCAGCTGCAAGGTGGAGAATGGATTGAGGCAACTCTGGGAGCACGGAGGGGACTAGTGAGTTGATTGCTGTCATACAAGAAATGAATGACATCTCTAGCAAGAGATGATAACGACTTGGATTAGGAAGGTGTTGGTGGAGATGGAGAGAGTAGATTTGAGAGCCATTGGAAGGTAGAATCGCTGGACTTGGTGATTGGTTGGGGCTAGGGAAGGGTGGAGAGATGGAGGCAGCGAGGGAGGGGACCAAGGCTGACTCACAGGTGGCTTAGGCACTTGGATGGATGGATAGAAGCCATTGGAAGGGGACCAGGCTTGTAGGGGGAAGGTCAGGAACTTGGGCTTGGACATGCCTTTGAAGTGCCTGTGGGGCATCCAAGTGAAGGGGTTGAGTGGACAGTTGGACATTTGGGCCTGGAGTTCAGGAGAGAGATCTGAGCTGTAGGAGAAGATTGGGACCTCATCAGTGGTCAGATGGTGACCGAAGCCAGGAGAGGTCACAGGGTGAGAAGAGCCCTGTGGGCACCACTATTTAAGTAAGGGACAGACAGAGGAAGGGGACCCATCAAAAGAAACCAAGAAGAAGTGGCTTCAGATATAGAAGGGATTTCAGGAGAGGAAGACCATAAATGCCAAGGAAGACGTGCTTGGAGAAGAAGCAGGTGGAGAAGAAGCAGGTGGGGGTCAGCGTCGGCAAGTGTTGCTGAGATGTCACGCAAGACCAGAACTGAAACTGTCCATCGTCCTTACTACTTCAATGAGAGTCATCTTCAGTGGAGTGAGGGGCCAGCGGCCAGAGTGTAGTGGGCTGAGCCAGAACAAGAGACAGAAGGAAATGGGAACGAGGGTAGAGCATTCCTTCAGGTCATCTGGCTGTGAGGGTGGTGGGGGACATGAAGCCGGGCACCTAGTAGGCACACAGCTTCCTGCCACCAGACAAATCAGAATGGGGAGCAGACGATAAGACAGAGTGCCACTGGGACCCTCTCCATCTAATCTTTCAAATTATTTTGTAGCAGTTGATATGTAAAAAAGAACATATGGAACATGTATGTAAGCTATGAAGCAGAACAACAAAGTGATCAGCCCAAACCCATCTCCCAACCCAAGATCTCCAATGACTGTGCTTCTCCCCCGTCCCACGTCTCCACGCACCCCCGAGGTAGCCGTTATCCTGAATTTTATCTTTATCACTTTCTTGCTTTAAAAGTACTTTTATTACACATGAATGTATCCCTAAACAATATATTGTTTTGTTTTGCTTGTTTTTGAGCTTTATAAAAACGCTGTTATAAAGTATGTAGTCTTCTGCCACATTCTTTCCCACAACCTCCTGATGTGGGTTCTTGGTTTGTTTCATATGCACTGCTGTATATTTCATGGTCAATATGCACAATTTGCTTGTCGGCTCTTCTGTCAATGAATATTGGGTAGTCTCTAGTCCTCTAGCTAAGACTGTGGCAGGAGAGTAACAGGTACCATGGAACAAGAAGGGAGAGGGGAGGCAGTGGGGCAGCATCTCTAATGAATGGGGCACTCATTCAATGGCAGAAGAGGAGTCTGGTCCCAAGGTGCACCCCCAAATCCAGAGAGGCTTTCCCTGGGGGCTGGGCACCCGTCTTCAGGATTTCCAGGCAGGTTGGCAGAGCCCTTTGGAGGGGGTTCAGGCAGTGATCAGTTCCAGGAAGGCTGGTTGCTATCTGGAGATCTATCCTTAGGCAGTTGGACCCCAGGCAGAATGTCCAGCTCAGCCATCAGGCAGGTGGCTTAAGGCATTAGGAAGAGTAAGGGGGTAGAACTTAGAGGTCGGACCAGAGAAAACAAATCCTGGCCCGAGCCATCCAAAGGTCAGGGCAAAGGGAACAGTTGCAACGTGGAGGTACCCAGGGTCATCCCGGGGGACTGGTGGTCACATCTGTTTGACAGTGACAGCTATTCCAGGAGTATCATGTGGGCCGGCATGCGTGGCCAAGCCGCAGAGCCCTGGCACAGTGCGAGTGCAGGGTGGAGGGCCAGGGCGGTCGTTTGGCTGTGGACAGGCTGCATGGGACAGCCATCGGGGCGGAACCAGGGGCCCCAGCCGTGGGGAACTGGACGGCAGACAGGGAGGGAGCCGCTGGTTTGGACAGATCACGCCCACCCAGTGGAACCACAGCGCTGGGCCGTCTTCCATTGCCTGACCACACTAAATGCTTCCAGGCCTGGGGTCAGGGGAGGAGCCCAGCACTGGGAGCAAAGCCTCAGGGGGATTTTCTCCTTCCAGCTGTGTGACCTGGGCAAGTTTCTTCACCACCCTGAGCCTCTGTTTCTTTCTCTGTGAATCACCTACGCTCACTTCCCTTCCTGCCTTCTGAGTATTGTGAACTGATGCAGGTGAAAACGCTTTGACAAGGTATCAGGTGTTAGAAGTGTGAAATTTGTTTCACCATACATTTCAGATTCACAGTGATTGAGGAAAGATTGTCCTTTTCTCCTTGGAGTCCTCTCTTGCTTGCTTTATTCTTATCACTTGTTAAAACACTTGTTAGTTTGCATCTCAAACACTGGAACTAATTTGGAGTATGATCTTGCATAAGTGACTTAACTTCCCTGTGCCTCCATTTGATCACCCACCTCACAAGGTTGTTGTCCACCTCACCGGAGACAAAGATTATGAAGGGCATTGCAAATTATAATATTCTGCGCATATGTCATAAATTATCTCTGCTATAAGCCCCTTTTGCTCATAGCCTGGGCCTGGCCCGGATAGCAGCATTCCAAGACATACACTCTAGCCAACAAAATTACATTTGTCTTAAACATGTGACTGTGACCCCTTTCCAATCACAGCCACAATAACTACTTGGGAAATTGCAATGGCCCAGAGCAGCTGCTGGCGCGGCTCAGGCTGTGGGCAGGTTTCCTGTAATCTGTTGCCTAGGAACGTGGCTGCCCTGTCATTCCTCCTGTCCCCCTGCCATTGCCCAGGCAGCCCCCAGCCACATATCCTCCTGTCAGTCTACTTGAGGGCAGCAGTGTGACCCTGGCTTAAACAGTATGGGCCATCTGGGTGTAGATGATTCATGTGGCAGAAATACACATGCCAAGGAAAGGTTTCTAGCTCAGCTTTCCAGAACATTCTTCCGCGATTCCATTGCTGGGTCTCTATCTTCTTCTATCTCTGTGTCTAATTCTCTCCTTGGCCATGATCCTTCCCCTTAGATGTATGGAGGAGACACTTTCCCTAACTCTTAAGGTGCTTCTCCTGTTTCTTTCTTGTTCTTTTACCCCCTCCCTCCTCTCAGCCCCAGACACCACATAGAAAGGAGACGAGGAAGCAGTCCAGTGACCACACAAGGGCTTGGTGTGGGCTACCCCCAGCTCTTCCTTCTAGCAGTCTAGCTGTGAGCTGGGCAAGTTAACCTTTCTTTGCTTCAGTTTCCTTATCTGCAAATAGGGATAATACTTGTATCTACCTCACAGAGTCGTTGTGAGATTAAATGAGAGAAAGCCATGTGGAACATTTGGCACAGTACCTAGCACATAGTAATCACTTAATAAATGATAGATTTTTTTTATTATTACATTGTTATCTGTAACAACAGTTCTCAAACTTGTCAATGAAGAGGTGCCTCCAAGTTATAGGAAACCGTGAAATTTTCACATTTTAAACTTAACGGAACACTGGTATTCCAAGGAACATAGTTTGAGAACTGAGTCCTTAGCCTGGCCTTGGGCGCCTCCCAGCCTGGCCCCAGTCTAGCTTCCCTCTATCCTCTCTGAGCCCTGCAGGCCTGCCAAACAGAGCCAATTCCTGTCTCTTGGACATCATTTGTGCTTTCCCAGTTCTGTCTGTTTGTTCTCTTCTGTCTTGGCCTGGCATGCTCTCTCCTGTTCTCACTGCTTTTGAAATTCAGTGCCTTCTGACAGGTGCTCCTCAAATCCCACCTTCTCTGTAAAGGCTTCCTTGACCACGTCTGATACTTAAGCTTTTTCCTTCCTTTGGACACATTCCCTGGGCACCCAGTGGGACAAGCCCTGAGCTAGTTGTGGGGCACATGGTTATGGATAGGACACAGTTCCTGCCCCTGAGAGGTACACAGTTTAGTGGGGAAGACGACCCATGGGAATGACAATTCCTTGCAA